AAAAAAAAAAAAGAAACAATATAGAAAATCAATAGTCTCTATAAAATAATAATAATAATAAACTTATTTCTTACCATGATATTTCATAATAACATCTGCTTTATCATCTTGATAATCTCGAAGTCCAACAAGAATAACATCTCCTTGATTAATCCATTGTTTTTTGCGTAGTTTACCACGAATACGACATAATCTTGTTTTTCCACCTGTATTATCAAAGCAAAATGCTTCTATATGACCATTACCTAAAATGCGTGTGACTTGTGCATAAGATTGTCCATCATCTTTAAGCATTAATTCACGTTTGACATCATCATTTTCATTTTTACCACGACGACGATTTTTACCACCTTTTCCTTTATTTTTTGGCATTTTATTTTCTAAATCTTAAATGTTGAATTATTCAAAAAAAGAAATAATTTATCGGTTTAATGACAGTTAAAGCAAGCTTTATATATGGAGAATGAAGAAAAAAGTGATGTAAGATTTCGTAATTAACCATGTGAGAGTTAAGCAAGTAGCAGAATGTATAACTATCAAAACAATATAGGGAGTAAGAATGTTGTAAGTCTATCAGTAAGATATAGATGACTCATAGATATAGCATTTGTCAATAAATACTTAAAAAAAACTGATTTCGTAATAACTTCTGTAAGAACGGTACATATTGTCAAATAGAATATTAGAGTGTATTTCTGTTTCTGATTTGAATGTTTTGCTCGGATCCTAAGATGGAGATCAAATATCTTTTTGTATATCACTGACTATGCCCAATATTAGAATAGCAGAAAGACGTTTGATTCAAAGTACGTAAAGAAGTCACCTTTTTTTCTCATTCTATTGTCATTTCAACTCGCTGCATAGTTCTGATCAATCATAATATTAGACTCTAACAATTTCTTCCGAAAGTTTTGTACTATGATAATAGCAAAACCAATACATTTCGTGATTAACTCAATGGGAATCTGTGAACTTCATTATTTGGACTGTATGTCTACTGTCAGAAATTTTATTCGATTCAATGAAATTTAGATAGAATTGAGCTGATTATAGTGAATATGATTACCATCATATTGAGTCATACTTCTATCCATATTTATTTCTCTCAAAATGATGAATATAAGCCATTGTGTAATATATTCAATCTACATATCCTAAAGTACAGTAGTCGCAAAAAGTTCAGCTACAAGATAGAAACTACCTAAAGTTTAATAGTTTAGACTCATAGCTTGACCATAAATAGAGCATATTGAATTCTGATTGCAAGAACTAATCTGGACTTGATCGGTCTTTATATGGAGGAGCTAGAAGATCAATATAGATTTGTTCGTCAGACGAGGATAACTTAACATGGAAAACAAACCTTATGATATTAGATCCCTCATTCGACAGCTTAGAACTGCTTCTATCGACAGTAAAAATATCATGTCAAACGGTTTTTGTTTGCATGATTTGTGAAGTAAATTTTGGATTATCTCCACATGAGAGTTGATGGAAATTGTCTAAAAGCGACCAATATCTTTGGCTAATTTTAACCATTTGCATTGGAGTCTTCTTCAATGAGTATCCTGCTCTAATCAGGTTTTTTTTGAAAATTTCACGATCGCACTCATCGATGGAGCAGGAATCTATGTTGAGACCTTTCCAGACAATGGAAGCTTTCCTGCGCTTCAAGATTACAGTGGATGTAAGTACCTCATCGGTGACGCAATATAGATATGTGGAATTTTATTTGTTAAATAAGAAAATAGAGATCAACGCATTTAAATAATGAAAAATTGGGAAAGTCTCAAAAAAGATAATTTTTTTGCGTCTGATTTACTGAATTCTACTTATAGTCAAAATATCAGACAGAAAGATTTAAGTTTATATACTTTTTACCAAATAGTCGAACTTTTTGCGACTAATGTTACATCCTTACAGACACACCTATCAGAATCGATAAGAAATAAGACTACGTTATTGTCTTATTGCTGTCGATCGAGATAGTAAATTTGATATAATTTTATTTAAAAAAGAAATCTTGATTAAGTGTAGAACACATGCAAAAAGTTCTTGATGTATATAGAACTCTTTCAACAATAAAAAATGTTCAATAGAAAATCATAGAAAGTTTCTATAGTCTAGAGAATAATATTATAATTATTGTCTTGTGTATAACATTTTATTTTTCATTCATCAATTCCTAGAAAAGATGATAATATTCAATTATTTATGAGTAAACAGTTCAGTTATTATTTAGCACTTTGTAAAATGTAAGATACTATTACCATTTATTGAATAAAATTACAAATAATCATTTTGTTTAAAATATTTATTAAAGAAAATCATTGTTTTTATGCGTGATCTTTTCCTTCAGATAAGAGGAAATATTATCGAAATAAGTACATTGATAAGAAGAACACAATGATATGAGTAATTGAAGTTGTCATAATAGGTAGTGACGCAATTCTAATCTACGAGAGACTCAAAAAAGAAATGTTTTTCAAATATCCATAGGAGGATAGTATTAAATAGGAAAGACAAATTTCTAACTATGATTTTTATTAAAGAAATATTTCTACATCTATACTTTCAAGGTGATAATAAAACGTTTCTACTGTACTAGTAACATTTTTTGAGTAATGATCAACAAAAACATATAAAACTTAAGCCTAACTTAGAGAAAATAAAAAAGTTAGAACTAAAAAACTTACTAGTCACGATCGAAAAAACCTCTATTAGTCTACTTTTTTGAAACAAAAATCAGAGCAGATACTATTTCAGTTCACTTCACCTAAAATTTCTTTATAAATCTGACGAACAATGACATAATTTAAACGTTATTGTGTCATTGTTGATCGTAGATATGTCTTTATTCAATTTGTAAGAAAACATAATTTGAAAATGTTCAGTCAACATTTTGTCTTACAAAACATTCTTATATTACTTCAAAATCTTATATACAAGTGAAATAGAGAAGCGAACTACAACTCTAATGTTCATAGTATATAATATTGACAGTAAAAATCAAAATCATTCAGAATTAACATGAGAATATTGGGTTTTATTAGAAAACTGTTGACATGGGAAATATCTTCTTTTACAAATCAACAATATGTTGAGGATATAAGTTCGAAATGTTTTTTGATTATAGTTCACAGTATTATGGATATTGGCAAATATATGGAAGAATTAATAGTGAATATGACATTACATCTTATAAATGAAAGTTAGGAATATAGATTGAAATTGTGAATTGGAAGTAACTATATTTAATCAAGATAATTATATTTATGTTCATTTTATATTACGCTTTTGGAATGGTGATTTTCATGCTTGTCTAAGTCTTCATTAATAAATGAGTGATTATTGTAGTTGTTGTTTTTATGATTTTCTTTACTCTTGTAGTTTAGTATGTTTTTTTCGTTATTGTTATCAAACATTACTATTTTTCTTTACATTGGTTTGTGAAGAGTTAAAATTTTTATCTTTTTTGGAAGAAAAAAAAA